CCTGGGACAGTGGGAGGTGTCCCTGCCATGGCAGGGGTGGCACTGGATGGGCTTTAAGGGCCCTTCCCAGCCAAACCATTCAGTGATTCTGTGAGCCCATGACTTTGGAAACAGCTGAATTAATCTATCAGCTCCCTGTTGGTTCTGCCCCCTCCGCCCCACTGCCAGCAGTGATGCCTGCACCCCATGAAATGGCCTTGGGAGTGCCCTGTAGCAGGAACAGCATGAGTCTCAGCTTCTCCTGCTGTGCTCAACTAGATCTGGCCGCTTTAAGGTGATGTCCATATCCTGTAAACACTTTTTTTTTTTTGGTGTTCTATATTGTTTGAAGACTTTGCTTTGTTCTGAAGTTTCCAGCACTCTTCTCTGAAGAAAGCTTCCCAAAACCAAGACCTCCCAGCACCTTGTCAGGGATTCATCCAGATGACTCACAGGATACGTGTAATTTCTGTGGAGTAGTAATTCCCTCTGGTTAGAGCTGGAAGCACAGAGCAGTGTGACCAGAGATGACTCACTAGGTGACCTTCAGATTACACCTTTTGGGGAAGATATTTCAATGGAAGGAGAGTTTTAACACAGGAATAGATGGTCTTAGGTTACGGCTAGCACTTTCACAGGGTGTTATGAGCTGGCCAGAGGAGCATGTGCCAGAGATGGGGCAGGAGCTCTCAGCTGACCTGAGCTGGCTGGAGTTAGGGCAAAAAAACCCAGTTTAGGACAAAATACAACTTGGGCCACACATAGCCTCCATGTCCCCATTTGCAGCTCCTGCTGTCCCTGCTGTAGGAATGACATGAATTTAGGGTACAGATGAAATGTGCAGTTCAGGTTCATCTTCTCTGGGTTTATTTCTTTAGTCCATGCAGTGGTCACAAATAATCTTACATTATTTGTGGAAAGAAGTAAGGATGCCTGGGAATTGATTTGCAAGGGTTGAGTAAAAGCTGCCTAAGATATTAAAAAATGGTGGATTTACCTCAAGTCATGAGATTCTGATATTAGTAAGAGGGCACACATACATAAGAGTGATGTTTTATTCTCATTTAGAAGATACAAAGCTTCCAAATCATACAGGCTGCCTGCATGGGAAGGTTTGCTGAATCTTGCTGTGTGATTCTTTGCAATCTTTTTTTACCCTCTGGCAGGCCCTGGGGTAATATTTGTTTAGGGTCTTTAATAGTTTTGGAAATGTGTTCTCCTAACTCAGCTGAATAAAAAGAGTTTTAAAGGTGCAGATTCTCTTCTTCACATGACATTCTTCAGTGTGCAGAAGTGAGTCTCTTAAAACACCCAGAATTCAGTGAATTTCCTGCCAACGGAATATTGGTATATAGCAAAGTATTGCTCTGATATCTTTCCCTTGCCAAAGGGAAGGACTGTCCTATTGATCTCTCCCATGCTACAGGTTGGGAGATGAAGACAGATTTCAACATTTTTTTTACTGTAGTGGCAGTTTCCTGATGTAATCCAGGATTATTCCCTGCTGGCCAAACAAGAGTTGACAAAAAAAAGGCCAGCCCTCAGCTGAGCATCTGATTCAAAAGAAAATTCAGCTGAAAGGCGAGCACTGGAAAGATGAGTCAATACAAAAGCAAGAGGCAGCTCTGGATTTAAGCAGAAGACCACAGCATTTAACCTACTTTAGCAGATCAATGCAGTGGATTTTTAATCATCACATTAATCCTAAAATAAAAATAATTACCCTAGAGATCGGTATTAAAGTCCCTTAATTATATCTCATTTCATCATCCTTTTTACTGGGGATCAGAAGCTGCAGAGACCAGAGCTTCCCGATGCCATTTCTGCAGCTTGTGGTTTGACTCTCCTGTTAGAGAACTTCAGCTGCAACTGCAGGGATGAGGCACTGGCCTTGGTGAGAGCACCCACACCCATCCCACCCGGGAGAAAACTGAAAAAGGGCAAAAAAGAAGGTGGACAGGACTCAGCTTTCCAATGACACGGCATAAAACTGCAAAGGAAGGAGTGGGGAACATTACAAAGTGGGTGAAAAATGTGTGAATGCCTAGAAATTCAATCTCTACGCTGTCCCCTTCTTCCAGCAATGCCAGGAGCTCATTAACATCCCATAAGGGTAAAGAGAGAACTTTGACCTGAGGCTGGGCCCCTTATCAAATTTCCCTGAGCTGAGTTTATCTCCTGGAGCATCCTTTCCTGTCCACAGTCCTGCCACCCCCACAGATGCTCTGGGAACATGGCCACGGGCAAATGCAGGATCCTGAGCCTCCATGGACAGCCTCAGGGGGGATTTCATGGCCATCAAACCAGCCCATTCCCTGCTGGTAAGGGTAAGTGGCATGGCTCACAGCAAACTTTCCCATCCGTCTCCCAGGAAAGGGTACCTTTCTCCACTCTGCTCTTTGGGACCAGTCCTGAGTCTCTGCTGTCACCTGCATTGTGCCCAAGCTGCTTGTCTCAGGTCACACTTCCCTGCCTTGATGGCCTTTACCCATTTCCACCACCTTCTTGCAGGGAAAAGAGCCACCCCGGTGTTATATTTAGACTTAAACGCACTGTACACTTACTGAAATAGTACTTTAGGGCAATTTTCAGGTTTCTCCAAATACACAGGGGAATTTCTTCCTGCTGCCTTGGGAGGCCATGGGTCCTGCTGTTGCTGCAGGCATTGGGATGCTGGCAAAGGCATCCCAAACGAGCAGCACGTGGAATCCCAGAGAGTAAATGGCTGCGTCCCCAGGCTCCAGCTTGGCAAGTGGCACCAGGGATATAAATACCCCACTTCCCCTCTCCAAAGGAGCCTCTCCAAAAGCACCAGGTACAAGTCAAAACACGTCTAAGGAGCCTCACAGCCGGAATCAGCTTCTAGCAGGGGGCTTAACGCCGGAGGCTTGTGAAGTGCAGGAGTAATTAAAGGTTACAGCTGCCCCTGGTTGGCAATCAGGCTGCCCTGGAATGCTCACCACAAGGTACTGCAGGGTGTTAAGGGAGAGGGAGGGAAAGGAAAGCTGGAAAAAAAAAAGGTACCTTCATAATAACGTTGTGGTAACAATGCAGGACGCTGATTAAATCACCTTTCTGTCACCAAAAACTTACAGCCACATCCTGCATTTTTATTCCCATGGAAGAGGGGAACTGCCAGTTCCCAGCAGAAAGGAGCTGAGGTGCTTTTTTTTTCCCCTGCACTGAGTTAGCAGAGCTCTTTATGAGACTATTTTCACATGACTAATTAAAAAAAAAGAAAAAGAAGAAACTAAAATAAACAAATCATTGCAAGCTGGAGTTAAAAAAACCAGAAAAGTAATATTTTTCCAGTCCAAGTGACAAAATATATGCTCATCTCCCTACTTGAGACTCCTTGATGGCAGAGGGCTCAGAACCAGACTTTCTCCTTGCAATCCCAGGAATTGGACATCAGCCTTTTTTCACTCCCTGATGATGACATGAGAGGTTCCCAGGGCATGAGGCAGGCCCCAGAGATCACTCAGTGGAAGAGTTTTTGCTTGCATCTTCTCATAATTTTATCTTTACTCCGCCATTTTTCATTTCAGTTTGTACTTGTGATTTATTTTTTCTTTTCTCTAGCCCTGTTGCAGTAATTTTGACTTGGAAAAGCAAGGATGGTAGGACTGCCAGGCCTCCAGGACAAATGGGAAAAACTGAGAAAATAAGGCAAAATGAGGCCTCGACCTGGCCATAAAGTCATGCTCTTAACACTGAGAAAGCTTATTACTACCCTTGTCTACCTACCAGGTTCCTGAAGCTCCCCAAATGTGGAGATTTTATACCTCCTCAGGTAATTATTTTCTTTAAAAGTTCCCCATCATGATTAAATCCAAATCTTTCCTGCTACAACATTTTAGCACTTTGTGAGTGTTTAGAGAGAGGTACTTATTGCTTTTTTTCTTCCAAGATTTAATTTGGGTATTTCAAGTCAGTTATCCTTTCTCCCCTCAGTTTTCTCCAAGCCAAAACCCCCCATGTTTTCTACACTGCTGCTCATTCTTGCTTCTTCCAGCTGAGGAAGTCACATCTTTCTGAAGCTGAGGTGCCCAAAAAAATCAGAGTCCCCCAGACAAGGCCTTGTGCTACACAAGGCACACAAATTGCTCTGTGGATAAACAACACCCCTGTCTAAACATATTAATATCATGCTTGCTTTTCCCTCCCAGAGAGAAATGTTGGCTGATTTGCCAGCATTTTGCTTGCTCTTGGCACGGGGCAAACAACTCCATGAGTTGCAAGCAAGGCAAGAACCAAACCATTTATCTCTCCTGGCAGAACGCAGCTCAATTCCAGTAAAAAATTCCACAGCAGCTGCCTACACAACTGAAACACTTACCTCAAAGCATGTAAGGGAAACATTCATCTTCATAAAATCATGCGAGCTGTAACTTCTCAAACTAGGTTTAAGTAAAATAAACTCTGCATGGGTCAAGGTTAAACATTTATAGGGCCCCCTCGGTGTTTGCTGTGAAAAGAGCATTTTCAGATCAAAGAGTGATGTGCTCTACAACGAGGCAGTCTCAGCAGCAATTCATGAGAACACAGCAGTGCAAAAATAAAGTGCTCTCTCGGTTATCTGGAACACTAATATTGATTTTAGGAACTGCATCTGCATGTTTGTTTCTAAAGACATTGAAGTTTCAGCAATGCTACTTCAATTCAACATCACGAGCCATTTCAGCCTGAACTTACACAGAGTGGGAAGCCTTGTAAGAGGCAAATACTCAGGTGGCACGAGTCTGTTTAACTTGAATACAAACCCATATTTTTGCCGCAGCTGAGGATTTAAACATAGCCCAGGGAACTCACAAAACACTATATTCTGCCTAACCCTCTCCTGCACTCATAACCTAACAAACATTACAGATGCTGGATGCACCTTCCCAGACTGACAAGATATTGTTATCATCAGCAAAACACTGAGAAGTGGTTTGAACTGCTGTAATGGTCTGCCTGGGGCTCCATCCCCCCTCAGCCTGATCAGACAACTTTTCCTATTCCCTCTGATCCCCCCTTACCTCTTGAGATAGTTCCTCCCGTAGAGAATCTGCTGCAGCAAGGTGACCACGGCAAAGGCGCAGATGAAGATGAAGAACAAAGTTCTGTTTCCCAGCAAATCCCGGCTTGATGAAGGGTCAGTGTATCCCATCCTTCTGAAAAGCCACTGAAGCTTCGCTGGGTAAAATTCAGTTCATTGCCACCTTCATGCCCTTTTTGCCGGGGGCTGGAGGGGAATGCCTGCTGGCTTTTCTGTGAGCAATCCAAGGACAAGGTATCCCATTGTTTGGCCCTGCTGCCCCTTCCTTGCCCCTTTTGGATGTTAGCTCCAGGACTGTGCGCAATGGCTTGCTTCCATGGTAAAGTTTCCAGGAGATTCAGACGTGGGTAACCTCTAAAATCATCTCTCAGAGCTCTCTCAGCGCAGGCAGCCTGTGCTGTGTGAGAGGCATTCTGTTCCCTCTAAGCCTCTCTTGAAAACCCGCTGCTAGCAATTATCTACTTCAATCCCATTTTCATATTCCAGATGGGGGAAGCTGCACACAGACCGGAGAACTGCAGCCAATGGCAAACACGGGGCTCCGGCAACCTGCGTTGGAAGCACATAGTCGTCAGCTCCTCTCTGCTTCTGCTCAGTGATTCCGACCAAATGTGCTCGCAAGGAGACGTGACTGGGGCTTGCTATTATTGAACAAGCATGCAACAATCATGAGGATTTCATTCAGAACCCTGCAGGGGAAAAAAAAAAAAAAAAAAAAAAAAAGAAAAAGGGAAAAAGAAGCTCAGCAGCAGCAGTCTGGTCAGGCTAGCAGGAAAGCTGCATTCTGTGCAGCAGCGCGCCGTCCGTGCCGTGGCTCCCGTGCTGTGGCATTTGCATGCAGAATGCAGAGCCTTCGGTGCCACTCTGCTCACTATTTGGGCTCCTCTGTTTCCCCTATTCCTCCAGAGTAAGCATGAGCAAGGTCACTGTGCATCCCTTCAAGGACAGAGCTCTCCCTGCCTGCATGCTGATTTATTGGAGGCTCTGTGTAGCCTCACAGCCGCAGAGAGGGAGCCTGCCTCTCAGTGCAGGCTCTAAGAACCATTCATTTAAAGAGACAAATATTCTGATTGTTCCTCCACTAGACAGAGTTCCCTTTTGAAAGGGCAGAGCAACAAGACCTTGTCCACAGCCATCGTAACTCCTCTAAAACCCCCTCATTTTCAGGAGAGGCTCAGTTCAGCTCACAGGGAGTTTTGTCGCTCATTTCACTGGGAGCAAAATCTAACCCAACCCTAAAACAAGTTCCAATGAAAGCTTTATCCATGAATGAAACATCCAGACTAGGAGGTTGTTTTGCCCCAATAACAGATGGGAAAACGATTTTGACAACAAAATGAGGGGGGAAAAATCCATTGTCTAAGAGAATAGGAAGATTTTTGTGTGAATAGATTTTCCAACAGTTAAATCAGCGTATGCAAATTGCTCTAGTGTGCCAGCAGCCCAGCTGTGTGGAGCAGCAAACAAAGTGTTCATGGACTTTGTTTCAGCTGTAACTCTGCTCCATGTGAAGAAGGGCCAAAGGTGACTTTGTGCAACCCTTCCAACACAATCCTTAAAGACAGGGCTAGTCCTCAGCATGCCCTACAGCAATTTCGGCAGGACAGACAATGGCTAAAGCAGGCTTTGCCTTACCTAATTTTAGGTAACAAAAGTCACACAAGTGTTTAAGGTGTGATGCTGGTCACCCTGAACTACTGCAGGCTGGAGAGCAGCACTTTAGACACATCTGACTTTGCAGAGAAGGTTCAGGGACCCAGCCCCTGGCGTGTCCTGCCTCTCACAAATCCCACACCTCTATTTCTATACCCTGCTAAATGCTTCCATTATCACCTTGCTTATAAATAGAGTGAGGACCCCAAGCCTCATCAAAGATTATCCAAGGAAAAGCAGGGGTAGAGGGCAAGGACATACTTCCTTGGAAACATTCTTCTACTATTTTGTTATTCAGGGTCTTCCATAAAAAAGGAAAGAAAACAAATATTTAGGATAGAGAAATAACTCAGTGGGATGCACTGCACTGGGAATAATACATACACCAGGGGATTTAAAGTTAAACACAAAAAGTAGTTTGATTCCCTATTGCCAAAGCCATCAGCTCTGGGGCCAAATATTTATTCTTTAAATGACCAGTTCTTACAAGCTCACATTATATGAGACTGTTTCCATATAGAAACTGAACCATTTAGATGGATCTACCAAAAACCCTCTCAGGAAAAGGAAAAGCCCTATGGACATCAAAATTCCCAGTCTGAGACCCCACAAGACACTGCACTGGCAGATTTGTATGCAGCAGCTTAGTCAAGGCCAATAAGTTCAGAAGTGAAGGAAAATTTACTTAATGATTTGAACTGTTTGATTTCTACTGATAGCTTTGAAAACTCAGAGAAATTTGCCTCAGTTGCTCTGGGAGTCATTTTACAATAACAGCAAATTATCAGAGAGTAGAATTTGGCTTCCTATGATTTTCTGTAGGTGTGAAACTTATTTTGCAGATTCTTATGTCACCTAGGTTTTGGTGAAAACACTTTCAGCTTTCCTACTTTTACTGCCCTCCATTCAAAAGGATTTTTTTTCCCCTTGAGATCTGTGCAGTAATGCACCAAATTCCTGAGCCTAGCAGAAGCTCTTTCTCCTGGAGTGATGAGGAGCCTGAGCTGCAGCAAACAGCCCATGTATTCTGTCAGTCTTTGATTTTCTGTGTCCTCTCATCATTCTCTGCTATATCAGGACTGGCCAGAAGATGCAGCACCTGAGAGACCTATGAGCAGGAGAGCTGCAGACCCAAAGTACAAAGGTATCTACAAAAAATAGGAGAGGTTTTCTGTGCCAGAGCTTGCACAGGCATCATTCCCGACGTCACATGCAAAATAAATCTGTTTGCTGCCCTCAGCCCAGTACAACAACAACACTGCACAACTGGAAGCAGACCAGCTCCGTGCAAGCACAGAGAAATAGAATGTCTATTGACAAATTTTCATAGGATGCTCAAGGTTGCCTGCAATATTTATTGTCAGTGAAACTGTCTGAGACTGCAGAAGAAGTGCTGAATGAGCAGTGTCAGCACTCATTCCCGGGGCCCTTTGAGAGTTTGATTTGTAAACTGCAGGCCTCCTTTAGAGCATCAGGCCTCTGCAGAGAAAAAAAAAAATATATTTTTTATAATAATTTTACACCCTGCACTTGAACAAGCAGCAGACAACAACAGATCCCCTCCAGAGTCTGAGAAGGATTGGAAAAGCCCTCTAAGAGCATTGAGCCCAACCATTCCCCCAACACTGACAGGTCCACATTCGCCCATGTCCCCAAGTGCTGCATCCACCTGCTTTAATAACATTTCCAGCACGACAGACACAAGCTCAGAACGGGTATTCCTGCATCCATTCTTGGAGCACAGACTTCAAAATCTAAAGCAAATCTGGCAAAATGGATCTTAATATGAAGCTGCCAGAAGCAGTCAGTCTTACACGTGTCTGGCCTTTATTTGTTGCATGTGAGCTGCTTGCTAAATATCACCAGAGATAATCTGTCACAAGAAACTCCTCCAGCCTGAGCAGTGAGACTCTGAGTGCTCTAACACAAACACAAACATGCTCCTTACAGTGACACCCTCCAATGGGAGCTCATCATTTGCCCTTGGGGCCCAATGAAGCAGAATTGAATTTATTTTTATTTTTTTTTTAAATAAGCTAGCATTAAATTTCAAAGACAAAGAAGATAAGACCATGCTACTGAAGCTCTATATGAGGAAAGATGAATTGGCAAGAGGACAAAATCTGGTAGGGGTCAGACTCTACTTCTCTTCTGGAGGCAATAAGTTCCTCTCTCTCTCTATTGCAAGGACAATACACAGCCCTTCCTGCTGAAATGCAGTTTATTTTTTAATGCAAATGAACTAGAAAAATTCATTTTTGATAGGCAGGCCTGATTGGGAATTTTTTTAAAGTATCTTTCACTGAACCTGTCATTTGAATCAATGTTTGACTGATCATGCATCCTAATTTCAGCTGAAAGCAAGGGTATTTCGTGTCTGGGACAGCAGATCTGTCTCTTGGTTGTTTAATCACAGAACACTTAACTGAACATGTTAACTCACAGAATCATACAGGTTCAGGGTAAAACAAGACATACTTCACGTTCCCCTTCAGGATTTTTTTTATTCCTGCCTGCTCAGCCACTCTTCGTGGCTGTTATTCAGACCAAAGAACTCCCCAGCCAGCATTGCAGAATACTACGGGTGGTAAACAGTTTGAGGACAACATTTTTTACACCTCATTTTCCCCCCTAAATTAAAATTAAATCATGCCTATTTACAGTTTCCACAATGCTTGTGTAAACTGCTAGATCCTTGGTTTTGCAAAGAGCTGGCACATAGGTGTATGGCTGGAAGGTTCTGCTGAACACGAAACTCATAAACATATGCTTATCAATATTAATTCTTTTGCAGATATAAAACATGAATGTACTAGCATAATCGAGTGCTTAACACAATGTCTAGTCCCCCATCACTGCCACAAATCCATATGTCTTAAACTGAGAAAGTGAAGGAAGCTGAAAGGATCCAGCTAAGATGTAAACATTTATTTTCTTCTGAGTTGGTTCAGCCTCGTGGAGATGACAGTGGCCAATTTGGCACCAGGCTCCCACCTGTGGAGACAGCTGAATTAGAGGACATGTCCTGAACACAACATATGGTCTGTACACTGGATACACATTACATCATCTCTTAAATCATGACCAATTTTTCTCCAATTATGGGTCACATAGTGCTCCATTACAGGGAAAAAAATGACCCAGTGTATAAAATTTCCCTTTTTTACCCTGATGACATCGTCTCTGTTGGGAAAGGAATGATGTCTGCCTCAAAGGAATAAGGAAACTCTGCAGAGGCTGCCTTGGCTACGGTGCTGTACATTTACTGTTGACAGTTCCTTATAGCAGAGCCTGCTAAAATGTATAGCAAAATGCAAAACTCAGAGCTGAGGACATCTCTGCTTTCCCAGTGGTATTTCCATGTTCCTAGAAAACAAAGGAAGTTAAGTGTGATTGTTATGGTCCTGTTCAGGCTCATGGCCCTGGAAGTAACTGAGAACAGTGGAAGCCCAGCCTCTCTGCAGAGAAGAAGAAACAGGACCCAGATTCATTTACAGGAATCATCAATAATAAACATTAGTTTGATTTTGGAACACTGCATGAGAGCCCTGAGTTTAGCAACTCAAGGGGACTGAGATGTTGGCAGAGCCACAAAGGGGTCAAAGGGTTTCCATGGCCAGCAGTTGCTCTCAAATAAGAAATGTGATCCTGCCTCTGTTCCAAACAAGTCATAACTCCCACCCAGTTCTCCAAAACCACCTTTAAAACCTCCCAAAGGAAAGCACTGGAATTAGTAGCACTCACTTTAATGGGGGTTGAAAGATTGGTATTTCTTTTGGATGAAAGTATTCCAGTAGTAACATCACAATGAACAAATATTTCCCATGACCAGAGTAAGGATCACACATTATCTAATGCCGAAAACCACAATTACCACAATTAATAATTATTTCACTATTTCAACAGTATATTTTTACAGAAAAAGTGAAAAGGTTAATCTCAAATATTTTTAAAAATATGCAATATGGCATATTAATTCACAGAGAGAGCACATCAGATTTTGGAATACGTTTTGCTCTGTCAGTGAGTGGCATTA